GAGAGAGAGAGAGAGAGAGAGAGAGAGAGAGAGACTGAAACCTACTCATTTTATGTAAAATATATTTTCTAGAAAATAGTGTAAAGGGCGTAATTTTGTGAAATTGTTTGCTTATAATAAGCCTCTCTATCGAGCTATTAATGTCCTCGTAATTTTATAACCACTCTATAAATTATCTACATGTATAGTATTTTAATGTTCAAAATTCAAATTTTAAATTCAGACAAATGACAGCCAAACTATCGGACAACCGGTTACGATTAATGACCGAGATCATTTCGGGTATGCGTGTCATTAAAATGTATGCGTGGGAACAGCCGTTCGCCGAACTCGTAGCCAATGCTAGAAAGTAAGCGCCTATAGTTTTGAATATTATATTTATACATTATAACGTGAAGTCCACAAATATGACTCTGACAAAGTATTTAAGCGCTAAAAATGGTGCTAAAATATACTTTACGATTGGATGAAACCATCTAGCTTTAAGATTTAGGCCACGGGCATATTTAACCAGTATAAATGTCCCAGTTAGAATATGAATTTGATTTAATAGTTTTAATTTTGCGCCAGTATTGTGAGGATATTTTATTCGTATCTATAATCCTTTTACTTTACACATAATCAATAGGCATGAATACCATATTTATAAATTAAATTACTATCTATTTGCAAACTAATTAATGTGTAAGGTGAAATGATTAAAAATCTGAATAAAAATAATTGTAAACGCAATTATGAACAAGGTTCTTGAGTATTAATACATGCACATGTATAAAAATATGGAATCTGTGATTTGGCGACCAGTACTAACATAAAATTCAATGTTATAGTAATGTATGAAATTGTGTATTACACATTTACAGTTTAACAAATATAAAATATTTTAACGAATTAACAATGTTTGGATTACAGGTCAGAGGTGGGCCGCATCCAGTGGTCATGTATGCTGAAAGCTGTCAATTTGTCCATGTTTTTTGTCACCTCACGGGTCATACTATTCGCGTGTTTTATAACATACGTACTGACGGGTAATGTGTTGACCGCCAAAGCGGTGTTCGTAACGATGGCTTTGTTTAACACATTGCGGATCACATTAACACTACTCTTCCCAAATGCCATCACACAGTGGGCTGAGTCACGGGTCACATGCGATCGCATACAGGTCAGTTTTTTATTGTTTACATAATTAATCCTTAATTTATTAAAATTTCAATTTATTATATTTGAAATAATTTGCAATAAAAATATTTTACACTTTTTTAAAGACATTT